ATTACACACAACAGGTAGCCGGACTCACACACACACACACACACACACACACACACACCCCTCTGCTGTCCGTGTCCAACGCCTCCCAGCTCCCACCTTTTCAGCACGATTATGAGGCCCCTTTATCCACTTTTATTACCTCACCCACACACACACACACACTCCCACACACTACTAGTCCTTTTTAGAGATTAATTGATCGTCAATTCAATCCCTAATTTGGACCAAGTCAGGTGGTAAATGGGCCTCTTTTCATTGATTGGTAGCGAAAATGGGCTTGAGTACATTGATAAATTTTGATTATTTATCAATTACGGGCCAAATGGAACTAAATCTATTAAACAGATTCACAGGCTGATTGGCATAATGGAGTTTGAAAATATCGCTATTGATAATGATTTCCGGCTAATTGTCTTTTTCCGGCTGTGACCGCTTGTTGAAATGACAACACAAATTTCATTTTTCAGAAAATCAGCTGTGTGTTGTAAGTGAGTAATCCTTCATTAGCCAGTCACATTACTGGAGCGCCTTCCCCTCCGTGGAGCCGCTCCTCGCCGAGCGGCGGAGGCCGGCAGCACTCTGTCATATTTTACATCAATTACCGCTCATTGTAATGCAGTTCCACCAAGAAGCTTTTAAACAGGCACCATATGCAAGGCCGGCTCCCGGCCTCCTGGTGCACAGTGAGTGATGCTGCCTGCTGGGAGTCAGAGCGGGTGGCACAGAGAGGAGGGGAGATTGAGGACGGGCGGCTGGAGTCATTTGAATAAAACTGAAGGACAGTCTAATAACAAAATGTCCATTCCTCGGCTTCCAGTCCTGATGTTAATTTCTTATTTCTCCCAGACTTGCGGCGCAGTGTGAATGAGGGGTGGGGTCGTGGCTGGTTTTAAATAGACCTGCCACCTCAGGCTTAATGGAAAAGGCAGCTCTCTGGAAAATAGAAAAAAAAAGGGAATTAGAGCCAGCCGACACGCGCGTTCGGCCGCCTTCCCCAGCACTGTATTTTTGAGCCACCGTGTAGTCTGTTGCTGGGACCGGAATGACAAAGGCAAATTACTGTTGTCATTTTATTAAGGGGATCCGCCTCGCTAGGGTAGAAAAGCCCCCGACTGGAATGTGCAAGAGCCCATCGGAAATAGGCCCAGCTAAAAGAGCAGGCAGGTTTCCTCTAAACTCAAATCTACCAAAGGGCGAGGGGAGTGAGGGAGGCAGAGGGAGACAGACGTGAGGGTGTGAGGGAGGGGGGGGGGGGGGGGGGATAAAGGGGGGGGGGGGAGGGGCGCGGGGGGGGGGTGGATTATAAAGGAGCAGAGCAATGACACCCTGTATGTTTAATCCTAACAGCTTGATTAAAGGTCCGTGTCAAGGTAGCGCTTTCGGTCGACAGGGGGCCAGATGTAATATCTCCTGTCTTACTTTCCAAGAGTTTACTCGACCTCAGAAAGCTCAGGACAGCAGGAAGAGGCAGAATTATTGCTGGACGGCCGTGCCGCTCCTCCTTGATTGACTAGCCCCGGACGGCCTGTGACATTACCCTCTGTGGGGAATCCAGCCTCCATCATTACCCCCGAGGAAGCCTGTTAGTAATCTGCCCCTCATCCAAACGCAATCGATAGCACATAACACCGACAGGCGGGAACCAGAGGTCTGCCCGATCGACGTGAACCCATCAAATATACCACTGCCTCAACACTCCCCCATAGCCGACAATATACCCCCCATTCAGACGTCCTAGATTCACTCCAGAAACCAAAAGTCGGGATCAGCAAGGACGCTGGCAGCATTCAAAGGGTGGCAGTTATTACAGGATTAGTCTGCAGGTCCCAAATCTAGAGGCCCAAGAAATGTTATTATTTGTTTGTATTTGATGAGACTTTCCCCACGAGAAGGACAAAAATATAGCAGGTATTTCCATGCTCTGGAAAATACCTGCTAGTGGAAATGTTTTTCAGCAAGAATTTCACAGGCTGTTAATATTTTGGAAGGTCTGTGCATCATCATAATCAGATAAACATCCAGCTACTACGTAATAGGAAAAGTATTTAAGATTTACAGTAAAAAGAAATAAATCTTAATGCCATTGATAATTTAAGAAAAATTGTGCTTCCTAACAAGAATTAAACCAAGCTTGGATGTTTTCCAAACCAAACTGATGGAAAAATTAGGTCAAATCAATGTTCAGGTGTGAAAATCTGAGAAAATATGATACAATACTGTTTTTCAAAGGATAGCACTATATTTTCAGTAGACAAACTCCATCATGTCTTATTCATGGCCAGTACACACATGCTCAGAAGCCACATTAGCATCTGCCACAACATTAATTAATCTAACCACAAATGCCATCATAAAGTACAACAACTTCATGAATGCCACTTCTAACTAACGTTAGCTAAACTTAGATACATTTCAGGTATAAAAACTTAACTCTACGGTTACTGTAGCTACCTTTGAGAGACCCTCTTCAGGAAACACGAAAAAGTATCAACTGCGCCATCCCAAAATCTGCCAACTTCATCGTCATTGGCTAGCCAACTAGCTAACTGGCTACTTCGCAGCATCATTCATCCACCAGACTGGACATTATCATTTGTCAAATACATCTATATCCAAGAATACGATGGGCTGCTATTGTTAGAGCAGCAATGCTCATTTTAGTTAATAAACGACCCCTGCAAAATTAAAATTAAAATAAAAAAGTGAGTAAATGACGAGCGAGTTGCGTTTAGGCCGCAGCCCGACACCGGTGTATCCTCCAGACCACACGGGACGAGCGTCACGCTACGTGCGGCCTGGCTTTTCATCGAGACGGGGCCCAACCAGCTGGCTAACTAGCATTAGCCTATAGTACCTAATGTAAGCTTTTTTTATTGCTTACCAGACCTTCTCTAAGTATAATTCATCCTTACCTCTTAACGATACCGGTTTTAATCTTGATCTGTCTTATTCTTGGATCAGCCATGATCGTAAATGTTGATTATTTCTCAGTTTTCTTGAGCTGGTTGGAGCTGACAGTGGAAGCGGCGTGCAGGCAGAGTTCAGGGATGACGAGCTGCACCCAGATAGAATCGATCATGGAGGTGGCTCACTGTAGGGATTTCAGCTCTGGCTCACAGCCCGGTGTGAAGAGTGAGCAGGGCTGATCTCGTCGATAAAAAGAAGGCACGATAAAAATAAATAAATCAATAACTAAATTCCCAACATTTAATGATTAATAAAGAAATACAAACAGTATTTAAATCAGGCCTTATTATGTGGTGAATCAGTGAGCAGAACTTTAAGTCTGAACATAATGCACAACTTTTTATTAAATTAAACAGCTGGTTAAAGTTAAAGGCTTGCATTTATAACCAAATAAATGATCTGCAGTCGACAGCATGTATCTGAAGTTTAAAGTAGTGCCCACAACACAGCAAAAATAACATAAACGGCATCAAAATGTTGAGCCTGACAGGAACACAATTAGTTCTCACTTTTTTTTTAACCTGCTGATTTACGACATAATAGCTGATCCTCTTTATGGCATTTTTAACATCGTGTTTTAGTACATTTTTTAGATAAACGTTGAAGTCCTCCAACACTTAAAGTCAAAATGTGTGTTGAACGTTTTAATGTTTTACATAAAAGCAGCTGGTGATTTTCTCCTTTGAATCTGAACTCTGCATAACCTCCTGGAAGGTGAGGTCAGGCAGACCTCTGTGGGAAATGGTTGTGGCATTCTGCAGCAAGAAGCTGTTGCAACGAGGAGATGGTGTAAATTATAGGAAAAGCTAGCACAGGGTAAGTGGAGGAAATGGTAAAAGCCGGGCCAGAGTGAGAGGCTGCTTTGCCTCCTGCAGCCAAACGACCTGCGAGAGACAGGGGCCAGAAACTAATGGGAGCCGCTGACTCTGAGCCAAGAGAGCCTCAGAGTAAAAGAGGTTTGGAGAGCCTGTGTTTGAGCTGAACCTGCCGGCAGACTGCCAACTGAAAAATGGGGCCTCTTTAAACTTGTAGAAGGTGATAGAAAATTATTTATTTATTTATTTGCTATTCTAACACTTGTTCTTGTGTGTGCCTTTGTCTTCTTATTGAGATCTTATTTTTGCTTTGAATGAACTTTTATTCTTAATTACATTTACTCGTTGATATCTAAGTCCCACTAGGTTTACAAAATAGTAATTTATTTAGTCTGTTTTAGTTCAGATTCCTTCAGGCTATCAGGTTAAGTCTGGAACATCTTGAAAGCTGCTTTTCCGATGAGAAGGAAGTCATGTGACAAACCACAGAAGGCCAGAATTTTCTCAGAAATCGATGAGAGCATTAAGATTTGCAATATCGTCTGGTGTTCAAAAGTCATCAACAGGGAAAGCCGCACCAACATCTGGGAACCCTGCCCGTGACGCACAGCTGCTCGGCCGTGGCCTGCCCAGCACTGGGGGGGGGGGGGGGGGGGGGGGGCTGGGCACGTCCCCAGCTGTTGTTGCAACTTTCTTTTTTTGTTTCTGGAATAAAACAGCATCCAGTGACCTTTGACTCGCCCTGTCCTTCATCAGTCTGATCAAACCAGCAAAGAGATCCTGCTCCATGTTACTCTTTCCAAAGGAGAAACAGATATTTGGAATGGATTAATTTTTTACTAAACGACCTGATGGTAATTTTTACCTGTTCTCTGCTTTCCATAAAGATTTAACTGTTTATGGAAAAATATTTGTTACCATGTGTAAGCTAAAGTTTCGTTTGAGTTCCAAAAAGAGACAGTTTCTTTGTTTGTACAATATCTGATTGAAGGGACACAATTGACACGCCTTTTGAGGCTGTATTACAAAGACAGAGCACTCAATATCATTTGAATCTTTGTGCATTTGATATCGATTTGTGTGATTGCTGAGAAAATAATCAATTTCATAGTATTTTACGAGGCAGAATGTGTTTTTATGTATGTATTTTAGTCTTGTCTGCTGTTAATACCGAACCCTTACAGCTTCTGTGCGCATCAGCATCATTGCCCTCAACTTTTCAATAACTGCAGACCCATAATTACATACAAAGTGTTGAAAACTTTATTTAAATGTCTTATTTGCTGATCACATACTATAGTCACACAACTTATGAGTCCTATGGATGTCAGCTGCATGTAAGAAGCAGAAATATACAACCGAAGGTGGCAATTTAAACAGAGTCAACATATTCCTCATAGTCTCCACAGAGGCTGATTGATTTAATTTTGAATTTAGTGATCCTCACATCATTTATGTCAGAATGGTGCTTGGGAGCAATGTTTGTGAGAAACAATCCATTTTAGAAGTTGTATAACGTGGACACAGTTGGAGAAAAAAAGAAAAAAGAGATAGAGAATGGGACAATAGCAATAGATTCCAGGTCACGTTAAAAAAAAATTTAAATACCCTTTTTTCTATTGTTTTCTAAATTCTTACTTTTTGCGGATCAAGAATTTTGATAATGTCTAAAACATATAATGAATAACAAATAAATTAAAATTGATAATGAATTAGTATAAATCCATGGTCCCACCAAACAAAGACCAAACAATCACATTTGAGGTCAGCAAATCACATTGATAGTAACTTACAGTGAGTGTTATCTCCAATGCTGCCATAATCAAGAAATAAAACATTTTTAAAAAAGAAACTTTCTTTAGCTGGGAATAAACAGTGTGTTTTGGGAAACAAATTGAATGGATGTGTTTTTTTACCCACTTAAATATATGCTCCCTCATAGCCTGTTTCGACTAAATTTGTGGGACAAAAAAATGGCTATTTGTTCTCCTGTTTTTCCAAAAAGCTGTTATTTCTCCTATTTGTGCATCAAGTTTTTAATAATTTTTTTGGTAAATAAAGCATGACCTTTACGAAGAAAAAATGAAATATATATATATATATATACCTGATGTTTTATGACAGTTCCTACCGTTTGTTTTTTACAGTTCCTAACATTTCATGCTGTGCTTGCCAATAATATAAGTGTGTGTTAGCGGGACCTCCTTTCTCATTGAAAGTAATTACTATAGCTGCC